CAGACCACTTCGAATTATTTTATTCGATTAAGCTAACGTGCCTATCACGTTGAGGTTGGCTACGCCGGGATTCGTTTTCAGCAAGTAGATATCCACACAAGTGGACCTTGTTGGAGCATTCGTAATCCTAAAATGTAGCATTGTGCTACAGATGGCGTTTACTGCGCCATTTGTAGTATTTTATAGATATTTTTGTAGGGAATTTAGGGCCAAACTTCAATTTGTATGTAATTTTATCAATATTATCAATTACATTTGCAAAATAAACAGTTAACATTAATTTTGAAGCATTTGAGCCGCTGGGAGTATAAAGATTCGAAAACACCCCCCTTTTAAGAACCACCCTAGTGTACTTGTAAGACTTTCATTGATGCATTTATACCTAATTAAGCAGGATCTTCTTTAATTTTAATTAATTCAGAATCACTAGCTATAGATGGTAAAATAAATTTGCAATAACAAAAACATTCCCAGGAGACGTCAAAGGAATAACCTGCGACGACCACATCATTATCCCGTTGCAAAGATAACACGTTTATATCAGTGCGATCTGAGTTTCTAAACAAATACATAATTGCAATCTCGACTACTTTCCGGTTGCAAGAATCGAAAGACGGAAATGGCATTATCTTTCGCAATATGTTTACACAGAAGCGTGGAAGTGGAATTGAATCAGCAAACTAAAATTGCCAAGCAATTCGCACTCAAGAATACAAAGCACAACTTTATGACAATTTAGCAAAGTAATTTAGGAAAATGTCTATCTGACAATACAACATATGTATGTGGTTTCGAAACAACAATTAAAGGAGAGGACACATCAGGCTTAAATCANATTTAATAATAGTTTAAGTCAATATATAATTGTAACACCTTGCTTTTTAAAAATCATAAGTTGTATTAATAGTAGATACGTCAAAGGAGAATATTTGTTAATCACCAAATTAGTAACTTTACAATTACTTTAAACAACTCCAATCGGGGAACGAAACGTTGTTGAACTGCTAATAAACTTGTTTATTTACCTGAATTAGTTCAGGATTGTTTACTTCTCAACATCCAAATATCAGGGAGAGTTACCTACACAAAATTCACTTGGCGCATTATAGATTTCGCCCAAACCTTTAATTAGCCGCTAACGAAAACAGTTATTTTCTTAACTGCCTAGACGTATTCGAAAATGCTAAATTTTTCAGATTGGCTACGACAAACACCTGAATAAAAACGATTTTATGTATTTAAAAGGTGGTAAATGTACCCCATCCACCTGGGATTTTCTCTACTCCTTCTAGTGGATGAGGTTCTAAATACAGTATATTTTGTTAAGCTTTTATACCAGTATAAATACCTATTTCTGTGTATATTTAAAGCACCTTTCCCCATTTTTTATGCAAGGTTTTCATAATAGGTCAATTTTAAGTCACTTCAACTAAAAGAGGTTGTTTTCGAAAGTTTCTCCAATTTTAGTGGCGATTAAAGAAACCTACCTATTACTTTCTTTCAATTAAAAAACTAAGTTCTTAAAGAACTTTTCAAAACTTTCGCAAACTTTTGCAAACTTTTTCACTTATCATAACATGCGTTTACATCCTATTTACTATATTTTCCTGCATTACACAGCAACCCTTGATGCTAGTAAACAGACGAAACAATTAACAGATCGTACGGTGCAAAACAACAACGAACGAAAAAAGCGCACAATACGGCGTGTCGCGGCTATCGACCTTTAACCCGAAAAGCAAAGCTTGAACTGGTTGTGAGACTTTAGCGCGCTCGTTATTCATGAAAGCTCCATGCACTGTTGTGACGCAAGTCCGTGACGTAGCAGCGAACCAGCGGACGGAACGTCGCGACGCTCGTCCAACCGAAAATGCAACGGCATAGCGATCCGCTGCACGCTCGTCGGAACGTCCGTCGTTGTCGACGTCGTCGTTCTGTGGACGCCACGAAATCTACGGTGACAGGGACGCGTCCGAGAGACAAAATAATAATGGTACGTTGACTCGAAAAACAGAAATGCAGGGTGCAGCACCGTAACTGCACGGAACGGGAGATTCACCCCAAATTAATTAATTGACTAGAAGGAAATTAATACCGTGTTGCGTGCAACCCCGAGAGAAGAAGCTGAGCCAAATGATGTTCAAAATCAAAAAATTTTCAATAAAAAGTTGTGGTGTCGAAATGGCAATTACGTATATCTAGTGAGAAAAAACACCCAAAAATACTGCCTATTGACACGCAGTGGAGTTTTAAGGAAACTCAAAAACTATTTTAGACTTTAAAACGTACCTATTTCAAAATTAATGAAATATTTTATGATTATAACGTTGCAATTCTTTCAAAATTCATAAAAAAGATACGGAGTTCATTTGCTTGAAAAATAAGCGCATTGACATTATGCAGTGTAGAAACAGTAAGCGAAAAGAATTTTTTCAAAGAATCATTTATGTACAAGCAGAAATTAACGCAAGTTCGATAGTTCTGGTTACTGTGACATTTATAGAACTTCACAAAGTCATCTAAAAAGACAAAGAAAGTTTCTAACCTAATTGGTAACGGAAATTTCATCAGTTTTTCAACTTCTAGAACCAGTGAATGACCCATGTTGAACTATGTACAAATAATCACTGATTCATCAGTAAGTTTGGCGCGTGAATAGGGATCAATGGTCTAATCGTGGACAGTCGACTCGGGGACGCGTTAACAAAAAGATTAACCCTTAACGAATAACCAGTAAGAAACCCTAAGTGTTGCTGGCACTACCTCCTGGCCAAGATAATTGTAACGATCCTATCAACGAAAGTGATTTTGTTAACTTTTAAGGTGTGTTAATCTGCATTGTGAGAGGAAGATCCATTTTATAAACGTTTTTGTTCAATTTTTATTTGTAATGTTATCTATCTAAATTACTTGTCAACTAACTTTAAATTCATTTGTAATTTGTGTCTTTTTTACTTTACATTACAATAAACTTGTTATTGTTTTCCAATCTCGCCTTTCTTATCATTTTAATATTCTACGCCCAGTACCGACAAAATAATAAAAACACATTATAATCAGATAAAATAAATAATTAAGCAATTCTGATGCGATTATAGGGTTTTGTAAGCGATTTTTATCATCATCATCATCAAAAGGTCGTCAGTCCTAAGACTGGTTGGACACGTACCTCCACTCTTTCCTATCCTGAGCTAATCTTCGCATTTCCCTAAAACTAGAACAAGCCATATCCGTAACTATCTACGAACAGTAATCTAATCTAGGTCTACCTCTACCCTTCCTAACTTCCGTTTCTGTCTCTAATATGTCTCTGACTAGACCTTCATGCCTAAGAAGGTGTCCTACCAACCTATCTCCCCTATCTTTTATTGACTTCATAGAGTCCTCTGTTCTCCTACTCTTTCTAATACCTCTTCATTTCTAACCTTCTCTATCCACGCTATCCTTATCAAACAAGGATAAAATTATTCTTGATCCAAGAATATCGTTTTTCAGTGTAGGTGAATGCATGCATTCATCCTTGATACCGAGGTTAGAAGTTGGTAACTACTGTAAGACTCGCTTTTTTTGTTCCTAAAGTTGCAGTTTCATTACCTTAAGAAATTCGTAGCAATGCACCATCATAAATCTTAAGGACTGCGTGGTATTGTTATATTTTATAAATTACCACATTCAGCATTACTGAAGACGTGCCACATGTTTCATTCAACTTTCCGAACTGCACATTGGGTTGAATATTTTTCATTATTGATACCGCCAATAAAAGTTTGACGTTGATAAAACCGTACGTGATTGTCAACAGCCACCACGGATCTAATACAAAATTCACGTTTACCTTCTTTAGGATCGTTTTCGAGGTTTTCGTATTTTCCGAGCGAATGGAGCATCTACAGCTGATACCCATACACAGGGTAGAAATTATTTAATTTAAAATTAATTCCGTAAGGATTAACAGAACAAATTTACATATTTACAATGAACAATTGAACTTGTTTTTTTTATTACTATACTCTGTTCACATTCAGGGTAGATCAAGTCAAAACAGAGGTAAACGAATGATAATTTTGACTAGTACGTGAAGAGCCCAAGCATCTGCCTTTTTTTTTAAATTTAATTCCGCATAAACTGGTATTACATCATCCGCCAAACACTGATAGCATTTCTAACAGCGGCCATAGTGCAATGGTCTTAGATGTTGTCTTGTTTCAACGTATATCGAAATGCCGGCTTACACCATGACAACACTGCCTCAAAATGTTGTTCTGGAAGATGTGCAACATTTTCTAAATCTTTCTCCAAACTTTTTTACGTTCACCTTATGACCGAACTAATCACTGAGCAATATGGCACTCAGTTTTTAAGTTTTCACAGCCGGCGTACATTGATTTGGTGGCTTCTTCCGGTTTGTTCTGTCGTGGTCCATGCAGCTTTGATATTCCAGACGTTTCGTCATTCTTCAGTGGTGACGTGGCGGTTATTGGGTCGTGACTAATACGGTTTGTGACTTTTTATATTTGATTCGTCACGGTGAATGAGTTTCTGCTTCGTTGGGCCAATGTAGTCTTCTCTGTTTTTCATTAAAGATTTCCAAGCATTACTTATGTGTAACCCATCATCTTGGTTTATATTATTGAGATGTTGTTCTATTTGCAAAGCTTCACGCCCAGCCAAGTTGTAGAAAACCAATGTCCTCACCAGGACCACTGTGTTCTAGAACTGGATGGTGTGACCTTCCTCGAGCGCGTGGTGAGCTATTGCAGATTTTCCGAGTTGGTATAATAAAAATAATAAAAATTCAAACTTCTTGTTCAAACTGTAAACGTTCAACTGTATAGTTTCTGGACAAATCTGGACATAATGCATGTTTTCTTGGTCTCACTTGGTGCTCCTGAAGTTTTCTTCGAATAGTTAATGTTGAAATCTCATGATCCCAAACGTTACCAAATCATTTTCTCATAACTATGATTTTAAAAAGCAGCTTTTTTCAACTCTTTACCTGAATTTTGAGTATTAAATTCAAAAAATTCAAGAATGTTTGAAAGGTAACACCTGGATGCACTTTAGGGCGTATAAAACTAGACACAAAAAGTACCTCAGTTAATGAGTCGTCAATGATTGTCGTTATCGTCCTTCGTTATCGCAAGCGACAAGTGACGAAAAACACACGTACCTACTCGTGACCTTCGCAGTAGCTGGTACGTAGACAGGCCAACTGCTGGTGATGACGATTAGCAGTAGCCTGCATTCGGTAGTTACCGTTCGATGGACAAAGTTACTGCTACTACCAGAAAATATAAAAATAAGTTTATTTTGAAAATATTAAACAAAAAGAAATGTATTCGCACGCAGAATATGCAGACAGATCGGTCACATATGGACGGTACAATGAGGATGCCCAAGCGACTTCACACAGGAAGTGTGGTACCTCTCCGAGGAGATGAACGTTAGCAAAGGCGACAAGTTGGTACTGACGAAATCGGTTTCCGATTAACAGAAGACAATCCCGGTTTGATTATTGCACTGCAAGCAAAGATTCCGCATGATACCCTGTGGAGGATTCTGAGGGAGAATTTCCTGCATATGTAGGTAATCTTGGTCATCATTGTCGGAGTATTGGTTAGTGTAGGATGACTCATTTTATTTTTTTTTTCATGTACTTCCTTTTCCCTCCAGTTTTTTCTGAAGAACTGATCAGACCTGGTGTGTAATAATTTTGTTCATCTAATCTTCATCGCCTTATCGATGCTTTTTATCATATCAGAATCAAACATTCATAAATGTCTTGGTAAATTCTAAAATTTACGAGCGACAGTGTCTTTTGAGCCTGTCTAATGTTTTTTCTTTTAACAGGAACAAAAAGTTATATTATTCATTTATTGTGTCTATATGTTAAGTACCGGCAAAACTAAAATATTAATCAGGTACTACGCCCATTTGCGTGTAGAAATTGAACCTACATTCCATTTAAAATTTAGGATGCAAGACATAATTCATATTCCGCCTACACCTACATACAAAGAGTTCTAACAATTGGGAATACGTATGTATACATATCATTATTGGACACTCCCAGTCCATTGCATGCTTTAGCTTAATAAAATCCGTCTCTACAAATTTTCGTTGAATGCATGCACCATCAGTTTTGTTCCGTACTGCAAGTCCATTTAATAACTGCATCCAAATTGAAACTGAAATTTATGCCACAATTTCCACGTTCTATCTGTAATGCACCCTCAGTGAAATAACCCTTAATTGCGATTACAAATCGCTTATGTTGTAAATTAAACAACTTGCCCTCGGACAACTGGACAGGTACATTTAAGTATTTAGGTATATAAGCTTCATGGACAATTATTACTTCAAAATTTAGCGTGCAATTAAGGTAATGGGAAGTTTTAGACAAGAAACACAAAGGTATAATTTCTTTGAAGCTTTCAAAAGCTCGTTACAAATCAATTAAATTTTGCGAACACTTATGTAGGACAGCACGATGTAGAAAAATGGTCAACAAGTAAGAAAGCAATTTTACTTCATATTAAAAGTAAAATAACAAA